TGGCCGTGATGACCATGCCAGGTGTCCTACCTATGTCTTGGTCTGGCCGGAAGCCAGGCTTCCTGGGTTATAATCCCATCTTAGTCTTTCCATCTGGGTGACTCTGGGCACGTTGGAAGACTCTCTGGGCTTTAGCTTCCTTGGTTGCACAATGGGGCCGGGAGGCGGTCTCCACGCGGGGCTGTGGGGAGTGCACTTGAGTTCATGAGCTGATCCCGGAGGAGGCCGCCGCAGGGCCAGGGCAGCCGTATTCCTGGACCCTGGGCCCTGGGTCTCCTTACGCCGTTTTCCTCAACCCTGACAAAACCACACCAGGCCATAGGGTCACGTCCAGACAGAGAAGGAAACCGAGGCCACAGTGTGGCTGGAGCTGACTCACAGCCACACAGTGCTGCCTGGCCTCTCGGCTGTGAGTCCAGCACAGGGCCAGGTGGCAGGCAGGCCTGCCCACTGGGCCTGGAGCCCAGGGTCTCCGGAACCCCGAGTTCATAATGCCCCTTCCTCAGCGAAGGGTCTCCGTAAAGGGCTGGCAGGTTCAGGAGCCAAGCCCTGAGGAGATCTGAAAGATCTGCTGTGGAGAATCAAGCCAGGGCAGGCAAGAGCGGGGGCCACGGCAGGGACAAGGGTGCAGCCAGCGGCCAGCTCCTCCAGCTCCCCCAGGCCTCCAGGCGCCCACAGGCTTTCTAGCTTCCATCTGGGAGGGCCCCTTCCCCAACAGGAAGCTCACTGGGGCTCAGCCTGCTGCTGGGGACTGGATATTTCTGGGCAGCACCCCCAGGCCTATGGAATCTGTCTGAAGAGGGGGCTGAAGACCCCTGGGTGGCCCCAGGACTTGGGATAGCCCACACGGTGGACTTCCAGGTTCCTTCTCCTCTCCTCTTAGCCAGGAGTCTGGTGGTCTCTGTTAGGCCGAGGCAGGATGTTCCAAGGGACTGGGGCCTGTGGACGACCAGGACAACGCAGGGCACCGCAGCCTAGACACCACAGAAAAGGGGTTCTCTGTCCCAAAATGTGGGTCGCAAACAGGTTAGAAGGCTGGGTGGCCAGAAGGGAGCTCAGCATTGCCCAGCACTCCAGGGGTCTTCTGGTGTCTTTTAGAAGGCCCAGTGTCTTCTAGGGACCCAGGCGTTGTGAGAGCTCCACTGCGGCCAGGGCCCCTGGATGGGGTGTGTGGCGGAGGAGGGAGCTGATGGGTCCCCTCCTCCTGGCTTCTGCCTGCTGCCGGCTGTCATTAGCCTTTGGTGATTCTCTCACCAGAGCTGCTTTCTAGACAGCGGCTCTGTCCTGGTCACGGCCGCCACTGACTGTGTCCTGCCCCGCTCCACCCCACTCAGCAGATGGCGCTCGCAGGAGCATCCTACGGACGGTTCTGCTGGGGTGGGGGGCAGCACAGGGGCTGTGCCGTCCAGCCATGAGGCTCTCTTCCCAGCCACGCCCCAGAACCTGAGTGTGGCAGGCAGCCGCTTACCTCTCAGAGGGCGAGAAGCCCCTGGTTTAGGGGACAGGCTGCACAGAGCGTATGTGAGGGTGAGCCTGCCCCAGCTCTGCCCTGTGCTCCTGCCTGGGCGGACACAGAGGAGGAAACTGAGGCTCACAGGGCCAAAGGGCCCACAGAGGTGCCAGGAAGGGTGGGGCCTCTGCCCGGCCCACCCAGGGTGATGTGAAGCTGAGGTGTCTCGGACTGCCAGCTCATGGCCACCTCGCTGCCGAGACACGGGGCCACCATGGTGAGCACAGGGGCAGAGCCTCCTGAGGTTGGCCAGGCTCGGGGCCCCTGGGAAGACTGTCTTTCCCCAGCACAGGGAGCCTCAGCCTCAGCCACCATTGCACGCCTGCCTGCTCTGGGGTGACCCAGCGCTATGGGCTGGGGGTTCAAACTTTGGAGGACGCAGACGCAGAGGCGGCTGGCCGGGCCCTCCTGGGCCGGGCAGACAGACAGCTGTCCCGGAGGCGGGAGCCTGGCATTCCAGGCATCTCAGCAACTCTATAAAACTGGCCGCTCCCGAGGCTGAGGGGGCAAGGGAAGGGGTGCAGGTGGTCAGCTTTGGCTCCACACGCCGGCCCCGGGACTGACCCCGGCCTGGTCCCACTGGGACCAGCGCCACCTGCTGGATGAGGGACACCACCCACTCACACCCCACCAGAGGCCTGGAGCTGAGGCCAAATCATTCTAAGAGCCTGCTGGGAATGGCCACCAGGGACCTGTGGGCCAGGGTGAAGGAGGCCGCTTTGCCCTTCCAGGGTGGGGGCACTGGGCCTGGGTGTCAGATTCGGCCTGCAGGCCTGGACACGGCCGCTGCTTCTTTCTGGTCCTCGGTTTCGACCTCTGTGAAACGGGGAGAGCACGAGGGGCCGTCAGCACCCAGCACACACACAGTGCCGTGCAGGCCCCGACGGGGCACGTCCTGGCCCAGGGAGAGGCTGAGACTGGAGTGTGACGGAAGCAGCCCAGCAGCAGGCCAGCGGGGTTGGAGTAAAGAGGGCACGCACAGGAGCTCTGCGGCTGGGGGGGCTGGCAGGCAAGAGCATTGGGGGCGGGAGGAACCAGGGGGCCAACTCGGTCTCAGACGGCTCAGAGCCGCCCAGGTGGACCCAGCCTCCCCACGTCTCCAGGGACAGCGAGGCCCCACAACAGCCTCCTGCCTCCTCCACGCCACCTCCCCAGCCCCAGGCCCCGAGGCCAATGGCTTTCCTTTCTTCAGGGAGAACCGAGGGTCACTTCAGTCCTGCTCAGAGCTGAATGCCCTCTCCAGAGCCAGCTGGTCTGTGTCCAGGCAGCCTGGCTCCAGGGGAGCCACACACGGCCACCCCCACCTCCACTCTGCGCTCAGCCACCCCTCAGAGGCAGCTCACAGTCCAGCCTTTGTGCAGGGGCTCCCAGCTGCCCCCCACCCAGACACCTGTCTCCCCACTTTGGGACGGTCCCTCCTCGGCCCCCTCCTCCTTAATGGCCACAGCACATGTGCAGGCCCACCTCTCCTCCCCCTGCAGCCCTGCCCGGAGCTCACAGCTGCAAAACGCACACGCTCTGTGCAAGCCAGCTGTGGAATGTCCTGCTCCTGCACGGCCCCAGAGCGGCTCCGCACCCCTCCCAGGCACCGACCTCGGATCACTTCTTCTTCACCCCCTGCTCCTCCTGGGTGGGGCTGGGGCTGGGCAGGAGCTGGGGCAGAGAGGAGAGGAGCAAGGTTGACCCAGGCCTCAGACAGGAGGGGCCCCTGGGGCTGCGTGCCTCCCCCTGCACCGCAGGCGGCAGGGCCTGGTTTTCCCATTTGGAGAGGCATCTGCGCTCCTGGAAGGCCAGGCTGAACAGGCCGCGGCGCTCCCTGGAATTTCATTCACTTTTTAAACAGAGTCATTCATTAAGTCAGTGCTTGCTGGAGATCCACAGTGTGCCAGGGCAGGGGGGATGATAACGAGGACCCACCCACCAGCACTCCTGCAGGACAGGGGCACCCATCAGTGGGCAGGTGCTGGGACGGAAGCAGGGGTACTGTGGGTTGGAAGCGCCCCCAGATACACTGCCCAGGTGGGAGTTAGCAAGGCCTTCTCCAGACCACAGAGGGAGAGGGAGGACAGGGCAAGGATGGTGGAAGGGGGCCAGGAGGCCTGGGTCTGGGGGAAAGGTCTGGGTTAGGATGGTCTAGTGGTCTCCAGGAGGGAGGTGGGGACCTTGAAAGCATCCTCATGGAAGAATGACACCACCAGGTGTCTCAACCTGGACGTTTCCTTGCAAAGAGCAGAAACGGGTTCCAGCCAACTTCAGACAAGAAAGAGGTTTCTGGAAAGGTGTGTGGGCGCTCCCAGCCAGGAGGCAGGACAGGAGCAGCCGCAGGAGCAGCCACAGCCTCTGGGAGCATCATGCCACTGGCACCTGCTGCCCCCTGCCTTGAGCCAGTTCCCAGGGGAAGAAAAGTGCGGGTGGCCACAGGATGGTCACAAGCCACCCCAGCGCAGCCCCTGGTGCAGTCTGGGCCAGGTCACAGGCATCACAGAGGCCCAGAGACAGAAGCCAGGCTTTGAGGAGGCACTGCCCAGTCTACCTCCAAGACCCAGAGCAAAGGCAGCTGGACAGAGGTAGGGACGGCGCCGCCTTGGCCTGGGGAGGGTCTCAGGGGCTGGGCTCAACCCAGTGGGGATGTCAAAACTCACCACTGCAAGTTCGAGACCTGTGTTTTGTCCAGCGTGAATTATGCCAGAGTGACAAGGTGAAAGGTGGTGACAGTGGCTTAGCTGACCACGAACCCATCAATGCAGAGAGAGCGCCTGCTGGGAAGCAGGATCACAGGCCAACCATTCTTTGGCTGGGGGACGAGGGTGCCCTGCCAGACAGATCCCCCAAGACCTTCTGCAACAAGAGAGGTCCTTTCCTCAAGGCCAGCAAAGGAGCCATGTGGACAGAAGGGGAGGAAGGCTGGAGTCCGGGCTTGTGCTTGGAGCCCATGGGAGAGGGTCCTGCTGGACACCTTGGGTATGGAACGATGTGAAGCAGCAAAGGAACCCGTGCAGACAGTGGGCAGCACCCGTGGGTGGGGGAGGGCTGAGGCGTATCAGCAAAGCCTTGGGTGCTCAAGTGGCTGAGCTCCAGGGCCTCGCACCTCCAGCACCCTGGATACGTGGCCAAAGCTGCAGCACCCACCAGTCTGCCCATCCCTGGGCGAGGCCAGGATGCAAGGTGGCCAGACCCCAGGGAGAACATGCACGGGGGCTTTCTCCCAAGGTTTTTTCCCAGAGAAAACAGACAAGGCCTCCTGAGTCAGCTCCTCTGGGCTTTCAGAAAAAAAAAAAAAAAAGAGGCCCAAGGCGAGGCTGGTCACGTGGCTCGTCAGCTGTCGCCGTGGGGCTCACACAGGCTGGGGCACTCGGGCCTCCTCGTGGGCACTCCTGCAGCTGCCACCCCAGCGGAGCCCTGCCGAGGGCCTAGGCCTTCTCCCTTGTGTGCCCTGCCTGGGGACCAGGAGGCCCGCAGCCCTGCTCCCAGCCAGTGCCCTCTCCTGCCCATGGGGACACTCGTGGCCAAACTGCTGCTGCCCACCCTCAGCAGCCTGGCCTTTCTCCCCACTGTCAGTGTGGCGGCCAAGAGGCGTTTCCACATGGAGGCCATGGTCTACCTCTTCACCATGTTCTTCGAGGCGGTGAGTCTGGGGCGTGGGAGGAAGACCCCGGAGGCCCTCGGCACTGCTCCGGCTGTGGTGGGCGGGACGGCTTGACCTGGGAGTGAAAGAAAGGACCCAGGGTGGGGTCTGCAGACCAGAGAGAGAAGCTCAGGACCCCCTTCCCCTCCGGTCCTCAGTTTCCCCATCTGTGCCAGAGCTTCCTGGGACGAGTGGCACTGTGACACCAACCGTGATGCCCACCAGCTGGGAGGACTAGGCCCTTGCACGCTGCCCCTCCGCCCCCACCTTACAGCTCTGGCCCTGGGACAGCTGAGCAGGGAGGAAGGGGTGAGCAGGCCTGGGAAGGGACTAGCGGGGCTCAGGGGACACCTGGGCCTGGGTGAGTCGAGCTGCAGGATTCCGCTGCCCACCGTCCAGCGGGGTGTGCTCCACAGCCCTCTCCCCCTGGGGCTGCCTTGCCCCTGGGTCCTTCCTTCCATTTCCATGTCTGGCTGGTTCCCAGCTCCCTCTCTGGCTCCCCTCGGTCTCCAGGTAATTGTCATGGGGGGATCTTCTCTGGCTTTCAGGGGAGCGCCTGGCACTGGCTGGCTGCTTTTGAAGCCCCTGTTTCTGGGATTGCTCTCCCCCTCACTTCCTGCTGTGGCCTCTCTGCCTTTGCTTCTCCTGCTGGCTGGCTGTCTAGCTCTCCCTCCAGGCCCGTCTCCTCGCTCCCTCTCCCTGTGGCAGCCTCTCTCGCTCTCTGGAGCTAGACCCCGTGGGATTTACTTCTTCCTCCTCTCCAGCTCCACCCCTGGATCCACGTGTTCTACCTATGGGTCCCTCTAGCTAACCACCTACCTGTCTGGGGGATAGGCCATCTGTCCATCATCCACCTCTGATCACCTGCCTAAGCCGTCGTCTGTCTCCCTGTCTATCTGTCTAGCCAGCTATGTGGTCCCCCCTAGCCTCTGGGTCCCCCGAGAGTCCCTCCCAGTTGCGGGACCCCACAGAGCTCCCTCCCAGTGCTCCTGGTTCAGCTTCCCTCAGACAGCTTCAGTGTCTGGTGGCAGAACCAGACCTGGGGCCGCACTCACCACAGGGCCTTCCGCCAAGGAGCTGCCGGTGCTCGGGCTATGGGGTGGGGCGGGGTCAGCACACCTCCCCCAGGTCGTGGGCTCACATGGACAACGATGACCTAGGACAGGCGAGCTCCTTGGAGGAACTCAAAGTCCTCCCTCCAGGTGGGAGACTTCTACCCCGATGGGGAGGAGCCAAGAGCCAGTGTCCAGGGAGGGGACTGTGCCCGGTATGCTGCATGCCAGGTGTCCGCACCTCCCAGGAGCTAGCATTGGGATTCCCAGTGATGGGTGAGGAGGCTGAGTCTCGGGAGGCTAGGGCACAGGTGCCACCGTAACCCAGCTCATCACCGCCTCCTCCGGGGACCCCGGCCTGTTGATGGGGAGACTGAGGCTGTGGAGAAGCCAAGGGCCAGGGCCAGAAGGAGACTTCTGAGTGGGTAGAGGGCCTCAGGGTCAGGCAGAGAAGCTAGGGCCTTGTCCCCAAGACCCACGTTAGGCCCAGCCCGGCAGATCACAGGCACTCGTCCGGTGAGCCCCCCCCCCCCCGCCCACCTGCTGTGGACTGACCCCACAGCTGCCTTTGTGGCCAGCCTCTGAGGCCCACCCAGCCCCACCCTGCCCCACCCAGAGTGGCAGAGGCAGCTGTCTCCCATGACAAATGTCCTCAAGGCACAGTCTGCACCTCCCACAGTCCTGTCCTCCACATGGCTTCTGCCCCCACAAGGGCCTCTGTGACAGTGACCATTCCTGTTGGGACAGGTGCTGGGCGCTTTACCCAGGGCCTCTAGAGAGCCCTCAGGGCAATGTCCTTATCCCACTGGACAGAGAAGGCCCCAAGGGGTCAGCTCCTGCCTGAGCTCCCTCAACAGCTCTCTGCGGGTGCTGATTGCAGAGTCTGCGCCCTGCCCACCCGGCCAGCAGCCGGCCTGGCACACTAGCTAGGCTACTCTGTCCCCATGTTGGAGGCGGAGGCTAGTGCCAACCGCCACACCTCCCAGGCCCCCTTGGGCAGGTGGTGCCCCTCCATCACACAGAACTAGCAGTCATCAGGAGGAGCCCTGGACCAGGTAAGGGAGGCCCCTCCTGCCCTGTGGGCAGGCTGGATTTCCAGACCACTTGGGACCCTCCTCCCTTCACTTGCACACCTGGGTGAGCACCAGGCTGGCAACTGGCATCACTGCCAGGATAAGACAGACTCTCCTGCTCCTGGGGGGGGGGGGGGGGGGGGGGGAGCACATAAACATTGCCAGAATCTCCAGTGGATGAGTCAAGCACACACAGCAATCTGTGATGCAAGGGGAGACGGAGACAGCAGGTGGGGGTAGGAGATGTGGTTCTGGAAGGAGCCAGGAGACCCTTCTGTATCCCACAGACATTTAAACACCTCGCTCAGCCCCCACCTGAAGCTTCCCTTTCCTGAGCCGTCATGTCCTGCACATAATCATCCTCCTCTACCCTCTTTGCCAATATTGCCTCAAGAAAGATGTAGTGTCCAAAGCTCAAGGCAGTTGTCTGGGTGGGACGACCAGAGCAGACAGGCAAGACCACCTCCTTCCTAGTCCTGGACACTGTGTCTCTTGTTAACGCCTCTGAGGGGCTGCGTAGGGCTGCAGGCAGCGGGAGCTCTCTCTGTCCACCCGACTTGCTCCACTCTCCAGACTGCCCAGGGCGCCTCCGTCTGCAGCACCCCTGCTGCCTCCAGACGCTGGCCTCCCGCTGCTCTGGGATTACCAAGAGCGCACTGTGCTGGCTGGCGAGCTTGTTTATGCCATTGAACCTGTCAAAACAATTATGTCATGTAATTAAATATTACTTAAAACGATGAAATGTGAATGCAAAAGGGGAGAGAGCTGCTTTCCTAAGAAGTGAGTTGACTGCTTGGAAAACACTCCACATACGCATTTTGTTTTTAGAATTGCTGTTAAGTGTCCAGCCGAGCACAGGCCAGAGGCAGGGGAACCAAGTGTGCTGTGTTGGGTCCTGCTCGAGGGATCCACACCCTCCCTCCTCTCTGAGGAGATGGAAAGCTGCCGGCCAGCACCTCTCGGCAGCCCCTGGGCATCTAGCCAAAGTGCACATCTCTGGCCTCACCCGGACCTACTGGAGAAGACTCTGGGGTGGGCCACCGTAACCCAGCTCTCTGCCCACAGCAACCTGTCTCTCTGTGCCCACTCCCACCTGAGAGCACTGCTGTGATGCAGACCAGACATTACAGGGGACATTGGCACAAGGAAAGGCTACCCGGCACCGAAGGGCAGATGGCTCTGTTCTTGGAGCCAAAGATGGGTGTGTGAAGGCCCTATGTGTGCCTTCAATAAGTCCAGAGGCAGGGGACACCCAGAGGTCCCATTTCAGGGTCCCCACCTTGGCAGGCTTCCTCTAAATGACCACCCAGCCTTAGGCCAAGGAGGCCAGAGGAGGTAAGAGGTCTCTGCCAGGGTGACGTCCGCAGAGACACTGCGGGGGCCACACCCAGTGGCACCCCTGCTGTTGATGGGGAGACTGAGGCACAGGGTGGTTGAGTGTCTCCAAGCTCGTGAGTAGCCGGCTCCCTGGTGGTACCTGGGGACTGCCGGCCCCTGGGGGCAGCAGCCTGACCCTGTGCCCCTGACGACCCTGATTCTCGGCAGCTCCACCACACCTGTGAGGGGCCCGGCCTGTCGGTGCTCTGCTTCCTGCGCCAGGATCTCCTGCAGTACTTCAGCATCTACGGGACGGCGCTGAGCATGTGGGTCTCCCTGATGGGTGAGTGGCCGCCCTGCCCTGCAGGCCAGAGCCGGTCCCCACCACCCGCACCACCTGGTCTCCAGGAACCCCGCCTTCCCTGCCCCTCAGTCTGGGCTTCAGCCATGAGAAAGCATCACTCCTTGAATGCTGCCTTCTCACTCTCCTATCTCTCTTAAGTGACTCATTTGACAAATGCTTGCTGTGACAAATTTAAAGAGCAGGGCACACAGAGCACTGCGTGCATGCCCACCAGCCTCCGCCCCAGAGCCACGCACAGGTCAGGGTGTGGCTCCCGGGTCTGCTTCCAGGAGCATTGCTCACCAAGGTCATTTTTGGCCCAGGGTTTTAGGAAGATGGGACCATTCAAGGGCCTCATGTGGGCGTGGCTCTGTGGGGGGACTGGCCTGGCATATGTGTGACTGTCCATGGCACCACCAGGGAAGGTTTCCACCTTGCTCTTAGAGCAGTGTCCACGTGTGTGGGCCCAGCCGCCTGAGGCCTCTGCCTTTTGACCAGCCTGTGAGCCCCCCGGGGCCCCTGGGGTCTCAGGTGTCCGGGTGGTCCTGCTGAGCCATCATTCTGACTCACTCGAGTCTTAGTGCTGAGTGTCTGCCCCAAGCTGCCCTGGCCAAGCTGGGGAGGCCGCTCTTACCTTTCCTCTGAAACTGGTGTCCATCGAACTTCTCAGTGACCAGGTGAGCCTCTGGGTCCTGTTGGTCAGGGGACGACCACGTGGGCACCTAAGGGTAGGGGTGCAGCCACAAGGGACGAGGAAGGCCACTCACCACTCCCGTCCTCTTCCTGATCCCCAGCGCTGGCCGACTTTGACGAACCTCAGAGGTCAACGTTTGTGATGCTTGGCGTCCTGACCATCGCCGTGCGGACCTACCACGACCGCTGGGGTTACGGGGTGTACTCGGGCCCCATCGGCATGGCCGTCCTGGTCATCGCAGCCAAGTGGGTGTGTACTGCATGTGCCTCAGCTGAGGGAACGTCACGGAGCCTGTGACCCCGCCCCCACTCCTCCAGCCTCAGAGCCTCTGTGACCTCCTGCCTGTGCAGGCGATGAGACCAGGAGTTCAGTGACCAGCCACAGGTGCTCTGGCCCTGCACTGACTGCCCTCGTCGGTGGGCACCAGCACTGGGCCAGCTGAGCCGCCCTCAGCCTGGCTCCCACAGCTCTGCATCTGCAACCCCAGGGGGCCCAAGCTGCAGGTGTGACCCACTGAGCACCCCACAGCAGGGCTGCGCCTCGGGTGGTACTGTGTCCGTAGAGAAAGAGCCAGCGGGCCTTGGAGAGCAGCTGGGGCTGCCTGGGCCACCTCCTGCCGGGGGCACGCTCGGGCTTGCTTCTACCAGGAAGGAGGACATGTGGCGGCGGGTGCTGTGGCCAGGGTCAGAGCACCCTGTGGCCTAGAGTCCACGAGGCCCTCTGCTCTGGCTCCCCAGGCCTCCTAGCCCTCCAGTGTACCAAAGCCCTCCTGGTTGTGAGGCCGGGAACCCACTCCAGCCGGCCAAAGTAAAGACATGGCATCCCTGGGATCCGCCCCAGAGTGGGGGTGGGAGCCCGGAGGCAGACACAAAGCCAGGAGCTCCAGCCCGGACCCCAAGCTAGCGCCATTCTACCGGCTTTTGCCCTGTGGAGCGTTGCCTTACGTCTCTGGGTCCCCACCTCAGGATGGAGGAGACTGGTCTTCCGCAGCCTGGGCACACTTCCGCAGCAGGCCGCGAGCTGCGCTGGGTCACTGGGTACAGCGCCAAATGGGCTGTGGGGGCCCCAGTGAGCCCGGTTCTCAGGGCAGTCGAAGGAGCGGCACTCAGACCCCAGCTGCCCAGAGGGATGAGGTTCTGGTGGCCAGCTGTCCCCCTCCCTTCGTGACCCAGGACCTTGGGGTTTACCCTGCTGGGCGGGGGGGAAGGAGCTAGGTACAGGAGACCCGCACCCAACTTGCAGCCCAGCAGGGCAGCAGTGTGACAGGACGCTCTGGCAGCAGACAGGAGCCTGCTAACTGGACGCCAGGCTGGCCCCGGGCTGACCCAGGAGCCTGAAAAGCCCTGCGGGTGGGGTTTTGGGGTCCGGCATTAATTAGCATGCTGGAATGCATAAACACAGCCCGGGTCTGATAACCCCTCCTGCTCCTGCCCGGGTTGCTTGGCCGGATCTGACTCTGGCCAGGCTTTAATTAGCCAGGATAGAATTCACTCCCCCATGTCCCGCCAAGTGCCAGGAGGCTTCCACTGCCCTCAGGCCACGGGCTGTCCACAGGAGCAGAGATGGACAGCCAGCATCTGGGACTCACACTGTGTTTTCTAGACCACTGAACGTGTAGTTCCTTTTGGATGTCCACGGGCAGTAGCTTCCTGGAACGAGGGCCCATTCCCCCCCCCTGAGGTTCACCACTTCTGGGGAGAGACTTGGGAACAGTTCTGGGGAGCAGAAGCAGAGCTTGTGGGGGGGCTCCCAGGGCAGGACCAGGCCTCTTCCCTGGCCATTCCATATGACCCTCGACACCTCCCTCCCAAGGTCCTCAACTCCTGTTGGCAATGGCAAGTTCCAGAAAAGCAAAAGCTTGGCACCATTTCAAAGCTCCTTTGGTGGCCAGAGCTGCCTTGCCCAGTGCAAGCCTGTTCCTGGGGTCTGTGCTCCCCACATGGTGACACGTGGAGCCTCGGGTGCTGCCCCTGCCCCAGGCTCATGCCTCACCACAGGGGCGACGGTCCATCCTGGTCAGCCAGGACAGCCTGGGCTCTGGACACCCCTGGCCAAGGAGCTGCAGTCACATGAAGCCTGAGGGATCAGGTTTAATGGGCTGCAGAGTTAATAATATTTAAGGTGCTTCTTCAACCAGTAAAGCGAACCTGTGTGTCCACATGCCACATGTGTGCCCCATGAGCCATAGGGCACCAGTAGTCACCAGGTGTGACATATGTTTTGTTCTAAATGATCCCCTTGGGCTCCCCTCTGCCTGGGAGACAGAAGTTCAAGGGCAGCCTGTCACACCCCAGAGGTGGGCTCCCAGTGACTACCTGGCCCAGAGGCTCCCAGGCCAGGACCTCCACTGTCCTGTCGAGGGCCTGGGTACAGAGGAGTGGCTGTGCTGCCCAGGCCGGGAGGGACTCCTCTGCCACGCAAGGATGGCCTGGGGTGTGCAGGTGGAGCCACTGGCACAGGGAGGGGCTGTCCCCACACTGTGCCCTGAGAGCTCTGCTGTCCCTCCTCTGTCCCCACAGTTGCAGAAGATGAAGGAGAAGAAGGGCTTGTACCCCGACAGGAGCGTCTACGCCCAGCAGATAGGCCCTGGCCTCTGCTTTGGAGCGCTGGCCCTGATGTTGCGCTTCTTCTTTGAGGTACAGTCCCCGTGGGGAAGAGCCCTCGTGGGCGTGGCCCTGCTCAGTGGGGTGGCCGGCTGTGCCCTCACCAGGAAGCTCCGTGGCCTGACTCCTTGTGCCTCCTGTGGGGGGTGCTAGGGCTATGCCCATCCCCAGCATCATGGCATCCTGGCCTGTGTGGACCTGGGGCTCACAAGAGGCGGGAGACAGGCCCTGACCTCAGGGAGCTTGCAGCTGAGACGACGGGTGTGGGGCTGGTGCCCAGCCTGGAGGAGGACATGGCGGGAGGGAGGCAGGAGGCCAGTCTTCTGATAGAGGCCTGGTGAGCAACACCACCTTCAGGAAGCGAGGGCTTGGTGATAAGAAAGGCCACCATGGCTGGACACAGAGGCCTCCCTGCAGGGCCACAGCAGGCAAGGACACAGGAGGGGCCCTAGGCCCGAGGGGCTGGCTGGGCCTGGGGGAGGTCCTGGGCTCTGGGGATCCAAAGACTGACTGACCGCCCTCCCCTGCAGGATTGGGACTACACCTACGTCCATAGCTGCTACCACTGTGCCCTGGCCATGTCCTTCTTCCTGCTGCTGCCCAAGGTCAACAAGAAGGCTGGACATGCAGGGCCCCCGGCCAAGCTGGACTTCTCCACGCTTTGCTGCACTTGTGTCTGATCACACTGCCCAGCTCCAAGCCCTGCCCTCCTGTTTAGGGACCAGAGTCCCACAGACTCTCCTGGGGTCCTCCTGTCCTTCCCACCCGGGGTGTCCAGGAGGAACAGTCTCTCCCACATCCTGAGAGACCCGCAGGGTGGCGAGACCCTCCAGGCTCTGCTACCTGTTCACTCTGCCGACTCTGTGCTCAGCGCTGCGCTGGGAGGAGAGGAACTTTCCCTCTGAAGCTCATGACTGACCGACGGGTGCACCTGATGACCCTGAGGCCAGTGTCTGTCCTCCCCTCTTCACCTATGGTGGCTAGGGCCCACTGCTTTCCACAAAGGGGGCTGCCAGCACCCTTGGAGGCCATGCCCACCAAGGAGACTGATATGGCCTCTATTATCCCTGTGGCCAGGCTCTGAGTGGCCCCATTTAGGACACTGGGCCAGGCCTGCCCCTCTGTCCACCCCTCCAGCCGGGTTCTGGATCAAGCTGTCTCAATAACAAAAATCAACAAGAAGCTCCCAATCAGTCGACCTTACTGCCTACAAACCCCCGCGTACATCTTGATTCCTAAAACAGGGCGTGAGCAGGCCTTGTTCCCCTTACCAGTGAGCACCCAGGCTCGGGGCGGACAGCCTGCTGAGGTCCAGAGTGGGTGGCAGGGAGCAGAGCCTGCAGCTGGCCCATGCAGAGGTGGCAGCCCTGGGCCGTCTCGGGCCTTGGCACGCTCCAGGCTGGCTGGCAGCCCTGCCCGGGGCCCCCAGCATGGAGGTGGCTGGTGCTGTGCCCTCCGCCGAGGGCTCCTCGCTGGGCCTCTGCTGTGCCGTGGGAGGTCCTGTCTGCAGCTGCTAGGGTTCCGATGGTGGCGGTGGTGGCTCCCAGACATCACCTCACAACCTGAGTCCCCCAGCACCCAGCCCGCCAGCTCCCCTGGAGACCTGAGGCCCATCTGTCGGCAGGAAGTTACCTACACCTGTCTGGGGCCTGTGTGTGTTTCCAGACAGGCCACTGAGAGGGAGCAGTTACCACGTCCACTCCCACCAGTGGGACAGCCAGTGATTTGTCCTAAAGTCACCTCTTGCAAGCCCAGGCTGGGAGGGAGCTCTCCAGCACTGGGGCGAGGCTCTGTGGCTCTCCAGCCCTCCCAGCGCCCAGCTGACTCCTCAGCCTGGCCTCCTGTCTGCTGACCTGCAGGCATCTCAGGAGCGCCTGGCCTGCCCCTCTCCGCCCTGGGGGCAGGCAGAAGTCACCAGGAGCCTGAGCCCTTCTCTGGCCCCAGAGCCTTTAAACAGCATGGCGTTTGCAGGACATCCCAGAACGCCCAAGTCCAGCCTCATGGCTCATCAGGCCCCGAGGACAGGACAGGACAGTGGTGTCACTCCCACCCATCAAATGAGGCAGCTGAGGTCCACAACCTGGGCTCTGACGCCACCTGCTTAGAAGGGATCAGCGGAATGTCCTGTGTGTCCCCATTGTAGGGCAGAGTACAGGGGGACATGGGGCTTCCCCCACCAAGTGCTGTGCCCCGACCAGCTGGTGACACACAGAGACACACCAGCAGGCACACATCACACACACGCCTGCTGCAAAAGACACACCCACCGCCACCAGGGGCCGCGTGTCAGGAACCCGTGTCCCCCTGCCCGAGGCAGGCTGCTGAGTCGGGCTGGGCAGCCCTGAGGGGAGTCAGGGCCCCTCCAGAGGCAGGCGTCCGCAGGGCAACCCGGCCGTACCTCCCTGCCCCCCCACAAGCGCGCCCAGGGCCTCGGGGCTCCCCTGGCACACAGGAGAATCAGAGCGGCCGGAGGCTCGGGCAGGGAGGGGCTGGGCTGCCAAGCCGTGAGGGCCACACCGAAAGGCTCTCCAGCGTGGCAGAGCTGATTTATGAAGGCCGTCTGGGCGGCCGGCCAAGTCTGTAAGTCACGGACAATTAGGAGGCATGCTGCAGCCTCAGCCTCCCCACGGCCTGCGCCGGCCTCCCGCGTGCCCAGCTCCACTGCAGCCTCCCAAGCAGGCTGGCCCCCATGGCCACCTCTCGGGGCCCAGGCAGGTCCCCAGCTCAGCTTGCAGACGAAACCCTGAAAGCCCGGGACATGGCACCTTTGCACTGAGGCCGAGCAGGTGACAGGGCCCGAGATCACTCCGGTCACTCCAGTCACTCTAACTATGTCCTCCTCCAGCGGCCTCTGACACCAAGGCCTGCTTTGACATCTTGGGGCTCTCACGAGGGCCAGGGGTGCCCAGGGAGCAGAGGACAGGAAGGGAGGGGCCATCTTCTCCCTTGCTACCAAGAACGGCCACCGGCCCTTCAAGAGGGACCTGGTGTGGCCGTTTCAGGCCAAGACCACTGGCCCTGCCAGCCCAGGGTTCCTCTCCCTGGGAGCTGAGAACTGTGACCCGTGGGGAGGCTGAGGCTGCAGCATGCCTCCTAATTGTCCGTGACTTACATCCCCGGCTGGCTGTCCACAGGACTCCCTCTCCTGCCGGCCCCTCTGGTGTGTGCTCAGGTGCCCCGGAGGCTCCTGAGCAGCAGCGTCTTGGTGAACTTGCCCAGCGCCGCCCCATGGCAGCCCCGGGCGCCCCCTCAGCAACAGAGCATTTCGAGTGTGGCGGGGCCAGGGAGGAACCGCCTCTTCAGAGGTGGGTGGCTCTAACCCGATGAGCTTACGGAGCCTCCCGTGTGCGCGGGCGGCAGTGAAGTTCGGGCTTCCTGACTGCGTCTCGGCCTCACGCACCTGAGACGATCCGACAGCAACAGCGGGGACACTTGCCTGGAACCGCCAGCAGTGATCCCATCAGTAACCCTGTCCCCCCACCCCCACCCCGGGGCACATGGGTTTGAGAAGTCCCTGGTTAATCCAAGGGACAGAGCAGGGGGGCTGCGACACCTGGCCCTGGCTGCCGCCCAGCTGCCAGCACAGGGTGGCCGAGGCTATGTCCTCCCAGCCCGCTGGCTCATCTCTACATGAGGAGATGAGTGGGCACAGACCCAGCCAGCCCCCCGGCCTGGGCATGGCTTCCAAGGAGCAGTGCCCGGGGTCAGCCGCACCTTGGCCCTGGCCTGGCCCTGGCCCTGGCCCCACCACAAGTGTGCCCATTGCCGGGCACACTCACGGCCTTCCTGGCGCACGCCCTCAGAGCCAGGCTCAGAGAAAGGCAGCAGGAAGGCGGTTCCGAGCACGTAGACACAACAGGCCATTGTAGCGGCCGCACCCCCAGCTGGTGGCGGCTGGCAGGGCACGGGGTGCTGGGCCCCTGCCAGACGCGCTCTGTGAGCGCACCAGAGGTGTTCCGTCTGAGGCAGTCTGCTCGCCGCGGCCTTTGTCGCGTCTGCTACTGAAGTTTCCTGTCTGTTCCTCTCCTCTCCAGGAAGAGATCTGAAACCCAAAACCTTTATTGCGCCTTTTAAAAGGCTTCACAGCTCCCCATCGACCTCATCCCCGTCCGGCTCTGCGGCTGGGACCGTTGGGGGCAGCCGTGCCGGGGGCCCCAGGGGAAGTCACCCTGGTCACGCTGGGCTGCAGGGACTTGGCTGGGGAGGACCTGGGGGCGGGAGGAAGACAGGAGCAGGAGGCGGCTGAGGTCCTGCGGCTGCGGGCCCCAGGTGCCCGTCTCTCTGGCCGTTGGCTGGTTGGGGCGGGAGAGTGGAGTGCCACCCAGGAGGCTGGTGGCCTCAGCCCTTTCCCACCTCACCTTTGTTGGGGAACGCAGCCCTGCCCAGTAGGCCCTCGGGCCCATGGGGACCAACCGAGGCTGACAGGTTTGGAGAAGTGTTAGGAAACGTCACATGCAGAGAGCAGTGGCCGGAGGCAGCGGGTGAGTGACATCCAGGAGCAGCCTGTCGCCACACAGGCTGGCTCCCCTTCCCCTCCAGCCCAGGCGAGCTCCCACGTGCCTCCAGCCTTGGCTTCCCCTTCTGTCATGGTGCCCACCTCACGTGGGCATTGTTGAGATTCCATGAGACCGTTTCATACAAAGCCCAGAAAACACTATTTTTAAATGATATTTTTAAAAGGCAATTGCTACTATTTTCATGATCATTGGTTGAGGGCAAGAAAAGGAAGTTCTAGAATTTAATGAAGGATCCTTATCACAAGAGCTATCACCCCAGTTAGGGCACCACATACCCAAGTGCCCGGGAAACAAAAGGTTCTGGATCAGTGCCCAAGAACTCTGGGTCAAGGGAGCAGGCCAGGAGGGCTGCCTGGAAGGGGCAGGCTTGAGAATGAAACTGGAAAAGCAGAGTGAACCGAGCTGTGAGAGCTCCTGGGCCGCGTCCGTGACAGATGGCTTCACAGTTCCACAGGTCTGGGTCTGGCCAGGCACCTGTGCCCTCAGCGGCCCCCGACCCCCTCCCACACCCTTCCCAGGGCAGCAAGAAAACTGCCGCTGCCCTGGGGAGAGGATGGCTGCAGCGGCTGCCGTCACTGGCCTTGCTGGACCGGCCTCTCAGATCTGTCCATTGCTCGTGGTCGCCGCGGCCAGAGGTGCCTGCTGAAGGGGTTGCTGGGCTCCTCTCCTGCTCTCTGGAGGGCATGTGAACAGGGCCAGGAGGCTGGGCAGGAGCCTCGGGCCTCAACCTGGCACATGGAAGCATGGCGGGTGACTTCCCTCTAGGCCCAGGTCACGTCTCCAGCTCTGCTGAGGGCTTCCGTCCCTGCCTAGGGACTGACCTGCCGCAGCAGGAGCAGGGGCTCCCCTTCCAGGCCCTGTGGGCGCCTCCCCTCTTGCCCACCCCCAGGGCTGCGCGACCTTCACAAGGCCCTTTGACACCTGCTGATGCCCCTAGGGGTCCAAAGGGACAGAGGGGTGAGGGGAGAGCCCGCCTGCCTGGTCTTGCCCTGCCCTGGGTCAGGAAGGTGGGCAGAGGGCCCCAATCTCACTGTCAGGCTGGTGGCGCGGTGCCCACTGCACCTTGTCTCGGTGGAGGGGCTGCAAACTCTGCCCCCACCCACAGGCACTGCGGGCGGCCGAGGAATGGAGGCTCCTTCGGCGGGGAGCTTGGGCTCACCAAGGCAGTCACCAGCGGCCAGCTGAGAGCACCCGAGTTCAGGGCCAGGCAGGAGGCTGCAGGGGAGGAGGCCAAGCCCAACATGGGCCTGGCCTGGCCCGGGTCCTTCCGGGAAGCTGGGACTCCCACGCCCTCACTGGGCTTTGTTTTCCCAACAGCCCTGCCAACCGGAGCCCGCTGGCCCAGAGCCCAGCCAAAGCCAACCTGCAGAGCTGCTACGGTCACATCGGGAAGACGTCTGGGCAGAGACAGAGGCAGTGGTCTCCAAGCAGCAGTTGACGAGTGCCTGCCGCCACCCCGGGGCTCGGAAGGCTGTGGCTTCAACCACCAGGCCCCTGCCGAGCCAGCCAGGTAGGGCTGGCCAGAGGGCACTGGGGCGTCCTCTGGTCTCCAGGCAGCCAGCCCATCCAGGAGTTAGGGGACGGTGGGACCAAAGACTCAGCCAGACAGACCCAAGGCCTGCGGGCTCTGCTCCTGGTGCCTGTGGGTACCACACCCTCCAACCCCAGGGACCACCCTGAGGGGGACTCAGCCTGAAGACGACCCGCACACCAGGCCGTGTCCTCCGGGTCATGCTTCTTAGCCACCTTGCTGCGGCTCCATGAAGCATGGGTGTGCCCAGGGTCTCGCCTCGGCAGAGCGGTGGCATGCCTGACCCGGAGCTTCCCGGCCTTGTGTCTATGGGTTGCCCTGACGGTGCCCTGTTCTGCCATCAGGTGGCACATGCAGGGGTTGGCTGTGGACCGTCCATCACCGTCCTTCATCCACCTTCTCTGTGTCTTTTCTCCCCTCTCCTGCCTTCTTGTGGACGGTGGAGCTTTTGAATTCTGCTTTCCTCCGTTGAGCTAGAACATGTGCACTGCTCCTGTCCCCCCGACTGCAGATCACACTTCGCCCCTGGAACACAGAGGGGACACCAGGACCTTTGCATCCTAATTGCTCCTGCCCTGACCTCACGGCCATCCCAGGCCTGAATTCCTGCTCGGTCCTCACCTGAAGCCCCGTGAGGTTCTGACCCTCAGTGTTTGCTTCCCTTCCTTCAGACTCCCCACTCTTCCTACCTTCTTTCCCTTCCTTCTGCCTCAAGTCACCCCGAAGGCTTGGGGTCGCGGGACTGTGGGAGACGTCCTTGGTTGTCACCTCCTTGGGTGGTCATTACATTTTTGCTGGGTGTTGAATTTGAAACTGAGAGTCACTGGCTCTCAGCATTCTGAAGACACTGCTTCTGCGTGTTCCGGGTCCCACTACCACAGCCGAGAAGTCAAGCTTCCCTGGTGGGCATGTGAGCTTAGCAAGCAGGGGACGCCGGGCTCCATCCCAACACCCAAGGAAACAGGGGAATGGTGGGAGGCAGGCGGTGGGGGTCTCCAGGTGAATTGTTTTACTTTTCTGGTGATCCGCATTTCCCTTTGGCTCTATTTCAATACCGCAGTGTTCTGCATTTTATTCTGATATGAGGAGAGTGGAATCCTTCTCCATCTTGCTTCGGACTCGTTGGCTTCTTAGATTGAGGGTGGCTGTCTTTCATTAGATCTGAAATGGTTTCAGCCATAATCCTTTTTACACCTGACCCCTAGCCCTCTTCCCCTTCCCCCTTTCCCAGAACCCCAGTTAGCAGCGTGTTTCTGGGCACCCTCCTGCTTGCCCTGGTCCACTTCTTGATCTTTTAGGAGAAGCCCTGTTCCTAACTTTTTCTCTCTCATCCTTCAGTTCACTAATTCTTTCTTCAGTGGTGTCTAAACTTGTCAAAATGTCTTTGGAGTTTTTCTAGGGTCACGCTTTTTATTTCTAGGAGTATTTTGGTTCCTTTTCAAGCAGGTTCATTCTTTATTAATGTATTCCTCCTTTTTTGTTGTTGTTGTTTTTTACAACAAAACAAAATAGTTTTATTACAGTTTGATGTATTCCTCTTTTTTATATATAAAACATTCTTCTTACTCTCTGGTTCTGATAGTTCCAGTATCTGAATTTTTTGGCTGACCTGATTCTACCACCTCCCATTTCTGGGGGCTTCTACTCACAGCGCCTCGTTTCCTTGTGTTTTAGGAACACTAATCTGCTCTTATTTTACAGATGAGGAAACGGAGGACAGGGACAATGCCTAACTCATTCCTAGCCAGTAAATGACAGATTGAAACCTTGGCACCAGGCGGCTGACTCTAAGGTCTATGATCCCACCTCTATGATTCTCAACACAGGATGGTAACGAGTGAATTCCTTCATCCATCTGTTCCTTCACCAGCTACTCACTGAGCTCCTTCTGTGTGCCAGACACTGTTCAAGGCCTGGAGACGCAGCAGGGAAAGATGAAGACAGACATCTTCCCTCGGAACTGGAAAACCTGTGGGAGTGGACACGGGGAGGGTGGAGGGCATTTGTGAGCCTGTCCAGGTGTATAGAGCCTCCTTTGCAGAGGCATCACAGGGAAGTGGCAGCCAGGGCTGTGGTCAGAGGAACCGGTACCCACATTGGCCATTCAGACTCCCATGGCTGGGTCCTTCTGCTGAGTCCCTGGAGACAGAACCCACGCCTCTGTGGAGGTAGCAGCAGGAACAAGCTCCCTAACCCAGGGGAACACAAGGCACAGAGAAGGCTTGCTGCCTGCCGGGGGTCTGCCGGCCCACTGACATTTGAGCACAGGCTGTTTCCCGTCCTCTCCTTGAAGGCAAATGCTCCAACAGGGACTCAGCTCTGGATTCGGGGAGGGCAAAGGTCCCTGTGGCTTCTCCCTGCTGGGAAGGCCGGAGGGCATGGAGAGGCGATGACAGGCCCTGGCTTGGCAGGCTGAGCAGAGACACCCATGGAGCCGGGCTGCAGACAAGCTTCCAAGCCCCTAAGTACCCGGGAGGCTTTGGGAGGTGAATGCATTTCCCCAGACTCTGCAAGCCAAGAGGCCTTGGCCTCCATCCTGTTACCGGAGGACCATGGGTCCCTCGAAGCACCCTGACACCTGTGAGGGGCGGCCCTTGGTCAGCAGAGCTGCTAGGGAGGGGTGGACTTTCCTCAGCCTGTCGTCCAGGGAGCAGCTGGGCACAGCTGCATCCTGAGGACACCGCCCCAGCCCTGCCTGGAACACAGGGTCAGACACCATTCCCAGCAGGGCCCCACTCCAGCCGGCCAGGCGAGGGGACGGCGTGTCCTGGGGCTTGGCTGGCCCCGTCCCAGCCCAACGAAGCAGTCCCCCCGCAGCCTCCAGGCCTGCGGGTGGGAGGGTGCCTCCAGCCCCGAGCCAGGGGAGCGTGAGCTTGGCGGAGGCCTTCCTGGGCCGGTGCTGTCCACGGCACGGCAGGGCTGGTGTTCTGGGTCTCCCAGAGCCGTGGGTAGCTGGACGTGTCAGGAACCTGGCCACGGCGCCCACTGACTGTTCAGGAGACACTGTGGTTCAAGCTGTCCCCAGATCCTGCACACACGCCAGGGCAGCTGAGACTTCTCCCGGCCGGCTGCCTCCCTCGCCTGCCCCCCGCAGGACACGGCCGCATCCTCACTCACCTCGGCTTGTAATTCCTGCTCCAAAATTTCGCACAGCATCAGCTGCCAGCACTGTCACACAGGCGGCCTCCCCTGCTGGCCGGCTGCCTCCATTCTGCCTCAAGCCCACTCGGACTTGCAGTTTATGCCTCTGCGTGTACATGTGCATGTGTGGGTACGCGTGTGCATGTGTCCAGGTGTACACCACTGAGATCTTTTTTTTTGGGGGGGGTACTGGGGATTGAACTCAGGGGCACTTAACCACGGAGCCACACCGCAGCCCTATTTTGTATTTTATTTAGAGACAGGGTCTCACTGAGGTGCTTAGGGCCTCGCTGTTGCTGAGGCTGGCTTTGAACTCGTGATCCTCCTGCCTCAGCCTCCCAGGCCGCTGGGATGACAGGTGTGAGCTATCACACCTGGCCACCATTGAGATCTTATGGGCTTACACTCAGCCTCTCCAGAGGCCCTCGCCAGCCCTCCCTGCACGGGCCCCCTCGGCTCATCACTCCTGGGGGGGCATCTTCCCACCTGGAAGACGCCCCAGGGAGCCAGGACCCAGCACACTGCCTCAGTCTCCCCCCTGCTCCTTGTCCCTGTGGTCAGCAGTGGGTCAGGAGCTTCCAGGTCGTCTTCATTTTGCACAAGCAACGGGTAGGTCAGCCACGAGTCTAGGTTGGGCTGGTTCAAAGCAGCCATCTGGCTTTTTCAAGGATGTTCCCAGTCACTGACACGTGTCACAGAACAATCCAAACGTCCGGATGAACAAAGACCACTAGAATCACCTGGACCCCGGACGCTGGTCTCTGGGTCACTTCTGTGTGGCTGCTGTTCCCAATTCACTCCACGTAGCAACGGTCCAACCCCGCAGACACCCCTGGTGGCAGGAGGGCCTCGCCCACTACAGTGCAGAAAGTCGGGCACCAGGAGCAACCGGAAAGGGCTGGACACCCGAGGTCTTGACCACGATGCCCCGCCGTCATGCACACCGGCACCGGGGTGTTAGCACAGTGGGGACCTCACGGGGTCTTCAGAGCCCCTGCCTCTCTGTGGTGCCACATCTCACGAGCACCTGCCCGGCAGCCTCACTGTGTCCTTGTCACTCACACTCTTCAGACAGGAGCTCCCCGAGGGGGCTGCCTGGGGGGGCTGCACACCCCGTCAGCCAGCCAGGCCCTGGGAGCCTTCCCGAGGCCTGGCGCGGCTCGGCCCGACTGGCGGGAGTCAGGCAGCTCTGCTCCCCGTGGGGGAGTCCAAGTCGGCGGCAGCCTCCCTCCCAGAGGCCAGGGCTGGTCCAGGTCACAGTCTGCACTTCAGGCAGCCAGCTCGGGGGAGCGTGGGGCCCCTGACAGTGAGAGCACAGTCCTGGGCCTTCTGCAGACACGCGGTTTCTAACCACAGGAGATCTCAGTGGTGGCCAGGCGTGGTGGCTCACGCTTGTCATCCCACCACCCTGAGCGCCAGAGCTCCAGGGACCTGGGAGAGAAAGCACTAGGTCCTTGAGCCAGGGACCCTGGCAGCAGAAACAGTGCCACCAGCACTCCACAAGGCCACCTGGGACAGAGGCTGGCCCTTGCCTGGGGAGCTGCAAGTGTTGAGAGACCCCCCAGAGAGGAGTGCAGGGCTCCACTCAGGCCCCAGGCTCCTGGATGCCTGGCCTGGGCACACCAGCTGCCTGTCCAACAGGAGGAAGGGCCTGTGGGACCCTGTCTCTACAACAGCACAGAGGCCGCTGGACACTCACCTTTTGTTCTGAAAAACGGGACTCCTGTGGGGAAAGGAGGAGGGGCAGAGAGCTGGACCCTGAGGTGCCTGGCCCCCTCCTGCCCCGGTGCTCAGAGCACAGCCCTGCGCTCTGGGGAAGCCACACGTGTGCAGAGACTTCCGTGAGCACTCATGTGCCTGTCCACTGGCCACGGCACTCTGGAGCCCCTCATCCAGCCAGGCCTGTCCAGCAGACGAGGTGGCAGTCACAGGACTTCTCTGGACTCACAACAGTCCCACAGCCCAGAGGGGCCTCAGGCCACCACCATAAGAGCAGGAGACCACTCTGCCTGGTGGTGCTCCCAGTCTCTTCCACTGGGTGGTGTGTTCTCATGGCCACCACTCACGCAGGGCCCAAGAGCCCGTGGCCAGGGGCTAGAAGGAGAAGACCGGCAGCTGTGGTGGAGGCTGCTGGCCTGGTGATCTGCAGCTGGGCAGTGTCCAGCGCAGGGACAGACCCCACATCCCTCCAGCAGCCCTCTCTGACCCCACCACCGTGAGGCCTCTGCCTGGACAGAGGAGGCACCCCTGACTCCCCACGCCATCCCTGGAATGTCCAAGTCCTCCCTGCATCCGGGCCTGCCGGCCAGTCCCTTTAAGGACAGCGGAAGCCCAGTGTCCATCCTCCAGGCCTGAGAATGCAATTCCTGCTCCTTATCTGCAAAGAGGAGCCAGCGGATTTCCTGACGGGGGTGCGGGGGGGTGCGCCAGCGCAGGAGCTGGCTGCAGGACAGGCAGCCGCAGCGTCTCCCCAGGCCCTGGGGTCCCAGGGTAGATGTGGGCCAAGCTCCTCAGACAGACGCTCCACATTCTTCAGAACAAAGTCTTCAAAGCCGGGGGATGGGGGACGGGCGGGCACCCCACCCACTTCTTCCCCTGGGACTGCGATGTGATCACAAACACATGGCTGTCCAGGTGACGGGACCAATTGGAAGGCAGACCTTGGCTGTGCGGCACATAGGCAAACACCCACAGGGCACCTCCATGTGGTGTCCGTGCCCCGGGGGGCACTGAGTGTCCAAGGCTGGGCCGCCCTGCCCTCCCGCCTGCCCCCCCAGCCTCACCTGCCACCTGCAGTCCTTTCCCCACAACCAGCACCAACCTGCCACCCCGGCAGGGGTCTGGGGCAGCCACGCCTGTCACCCAGTGGCCTTTGCTCCGGGCTCAGGTATCGCCTCCCCCTCGCTTGGCAGCGCACTCCTGGCTGACGTCAGCTCCCCTGAGCCTCAGCCGCCTGCACCAGCCTTCCCTGCTCTGCCTGCCCGTGGCTCTGTGGTTCTCTCCCCACCACGCCTGGAGTCCTCTCAAGATAGTGCCCTCAAAAGCACTCAACCGATGAGTGGACAGTGTGGGCTGTCCCTGTCAGGTGGCAAGGGAAGCAGGGCCACACACCCACATGCACCCTTCCATGCACCCTGGAGTGGGTGTCCCCCGAGACACCGAAGATGCTGGCGGGGTCAGTGACAGGCACCAGCTCTGTGGGCAACAGCCCCGCCCTGGGTGGGCCATCCAGGGTGTATGGACAGTTAAAGTCCAGACATGGGCGCTCACCCCTTGTCCCAGCTCCAACCCCTGAGAGTCCACCCCATCCCCCCTTGGAAAGTCCCTGTGATGGGCACTGAGGTCCCATCTACATGCTTCTCCACCGCAAGCAGCAGCCTGCCCTGGCCCCATCCCCTCCTGGACCAGAATCAGGAACTTGCTCCCGTCAGGACAGTTGGCTCAGGCCTGTGGCCTGACCTCATTCCTGCTGCCCTCTGTTGTGGCCAGTGGTCACTTCCAAGGGGTAAGGGAGGCAGACCCTAGAAGGAGCTCAGGAGGAAAGAATCCTTTGTCCCTTTTCTAAAGCCCCTCCGAAGAGCCCCACCTGCTCAGTGTGAGCCCAGCACTGGAACTGTGCCCACACCTTGGGGCCAGCGTGTCCCCAGAGGTCAGAGTCTGTGGGCTCTAGGGAGCAACCAGTGCTTTGGAGAGGGCGGGACAGCGCAAGGCCCCGCCTCCCAGGAGGGGAACGAGGAGGCCTCTGCCCGGCAAGAAGAGGAGAACCCACAGTGTGCCACACTCAAGCCACCAAGGCCCCGCAGGCCCTCGTGCTCCAGGTGCCAGGTGCAGACTCCAGGGCCACCCTTCCCACTCCCCACAGAGCTGCAGACAAGTCACCAGCCTCATGTCGGGGTTAAGGTTCGCTGCTCTGAGGTGGGGCCTGACTCCAGGGGGCTGGGGTAGGGGGATCAGGGGCACAGCCCACCAAGTGCTCAGGATGGGAGCCCCCAGGGCAGCCCCCACGCCCCACGCCAGCCAGGACTGCCGTCCCCCACCACCCGAAGCCCACCTGGCCACACCTGGGCCATTTTCAGTGAGGCGAGCAGAGGCCTTAAAGCCAGCAGGGTAGACAGGAAAAGGATACAACCAGATCAGGTGCACCTCCCGGTTCTCCTGGGAAGGCCCAGAGGGGACAGGAGAGGCCCAGGGACAGACCCCGAGGGTCCTGAGGCAGCCCCGGGCCCCAGACTGCCCACTCAGATCAGGGTCAATCCTCCTTCGTGCAGAAGGAGCTGCCACAGCACAGACAGGAGCCTGGGGCAGCACACTCGGCCCCTCCCCAGGAGTGGGACGGGCATCTCTGTGCCTCAGTCCCTGTCCCGTAAAATGGGAGACAATGCCCCTGTGCCATTACAGGACGAGGTGAGGGAGCCGTGGCTGGGTTCAGTGGTGGCTACTGCCAGACCCTGTCCCCTCCCAGTAACCCCAGAGGCTCACCCCAGGACACCAGCCCAGCTGGCCAAGCTCCCACTGCCCTGGCCCTGCAGTGCCCCCAGGTCTCCCAGCAGAACATTTCTGACATACTCCAAATCCTCAGCAAAACAAGATGAGAATTCAGTGATTGCTTTTGGCAAGGAGTCCACAGGCCAGCTAAAGGGCCAAAAATAACCCAGGGGAAGTGTCCCAGGCCACCTGCGGTCTGAGGGGCTCCATCTGGGCTCTGTCTGAACACGGGGCCAAAGTGGTCTGGGCCTGACCTCGCCGCCAGCCAGCCAGAGAAGCTGGGAGACAGGGACGTGGGGAAGGGAGGACGGCGGACAGAGCAAGACTGTCTGTCACTCAGCACACTTCAAGCCAGGAAGTGTCCAGCCATCCAGAAAGGCGTAATGTCATACTTTACCAAGAAAAGCAGCTGTTCGCTACTCACTGGCCACAGATAGTTGGCGGCGTCCCGGGAGAGAGTGTTGGCTGGGGTTGTGGGGGATGGATGGGGAGGTGTCCACCAGGCTCCTCAGCTCCCTGAGGCCTGGCCAGCCCTGCACTGAGGCAGGGACGGAGGTGGAGCGGGTGGGGCCCTGAGCAGGACACACCTAAAGCACATAGAGCATCCTGCCAGGGACATGCAGCCAGGTTGGAAGGAGAACAGGGTCCCCCCAGGGCCAGGCTCCCAGGACCAGCGGCCACCTGCAGGCATCTCCTCCCCTCATCGCTCCTGTGAAGAAGGATGGCCCTCCACACACCTGTGCACCTGCCCATCTGCTGTCCCTGTGGTGGAGGGTCCCCTGGCTTCACTCAGTCCCATCTCCCCATGGCCCTGTGACCTGCACACTCAGGGCTCTTCTCCATTCTCACCTGCGAGGGAGTGAGGCTGTGAGGACCCACGGGCGCTGGCTCCAGGCTGCACTTGCTCAGACTGGTGCCCAACCTCGGGCTTCCCGGGTCAAGGAGCCCGCCGTTCTCCCACCCCCGGCAGCCTGCCTCCCCGCCGTGTGCTCCTCTGAGTCAGCCATGCAGTGGCAGCTGGACCGCTGGCCTCTGAGGGTGATTCCCTAGAGGGTGCCCAGCTCCAAGGCCCCGTGTGCCCCTTGCAGTCTCCAGGCCCCGCCCTCCCTGGGCAAGCAGGAGGTGGGCGTCCTGCAGCCACTAGGAAAGTGTGAGGCCGCAGCCCAGAAAGCAGCCCCCACAGCCTCACCCGAGAGGTCAGAGACCCCGCTCCTGTGTGGCCACTGGAGGGGGACAGAAGTCTGCCCAGCCACTCTCCTAACCACACAGCAGCCTCCTCCCTGAAGGGGAAGCTTGCCTCATCCTCTGCCAACCACAGCAGAAAGGGTGCCAGCGTCACTGCCTGCCAGCTCCTGGGGCGCCACGGGGTTAAATGCTCACCCACACGCTCACACAGACACACGCGCACGCACCCACACACATACACAGACGCAGGATCGCGCCCTCGCACACATGTCCTGGAGGGCAGCCGATCCCAGCGCTCCTTGCCAACAGCTCCAGGAATCCCCAGGCCCATCCCGTGCCCGGGAAACTTCCAGCCCACCAAGGGCACACCTTTCCCTAACTCAGGCATCTGCCCGGCAGCCCCTGGAGAGGTGGCAACAGAGTCAGGAGAGGGGCAGGAACCACGGCTCAGCCAGCCTTCACAGAACAGGACGGTGCTTTCCTTGCAGGTGGGAGTCCCCCTGGCCAGGCTGGGCACGGAATCCTGGACTCTCCCCTAGGCTGGTGGAGAGGCCTGGGCACACGAGTCCCACAGGAGCTGGCCACAAGCATTTTCACAGGCCGCGGTCAGAAATGCACACACACGGGCCGAGGCACGCGCCACCTTGCCCACCTGTGCCTCTTGTCAGCGCTGGCCTGCGGGAAGGGCCCAGCCTGAGGTGGCAGGTTGAGAGAGGCTTCTTCCCCTGCCTGGCTCGCAGGCCGCTGCTCCCCGGCGCACCTGGCGAGTCTTGATGCTCCCGGGCCGAGGCTCAGCACCACCCCCAGCAGTGCAACACACCTGCAGTTCACACTCGTGGTCTCGGAGCTGGAGGGGAAGGAGCCTGAGGGTTCAGCTCTGCCTCTGGCCACCTCTGAGAGGGGGCAAAGGAGGACACCGGGCTCAGATCCCCATGGGCCCCAGCCCACCTGTCAGACTCTCACAGACCATGCTGTGCGTCACCAAGGCCACCACCTAACAAGGTGCAGCAAGCAGGGCAGGAGTGGGAAGGTCCAGGGAGCAGGGAGACCCATGTCCTCTCCTCCAAGGGAGCAGCAGGCAGAGATGGTGGGGGCCAACTCACCTTCCTACCCCAGGCTGAGCCACTCAGGGTCACACAGAGCCAAGGCTCTGTGACTTCCCATCCCTGGGGCTGCCACAGCAAAGGCAGGGACACATGGGGCCAGCCCCAGGTTACCCAGGACCCTGTTCCAGTGAGCTCCTCCACAGCAGGCAGGAAACCGTGGTGGCCCCTGGGCCTTTGCTCCTGCAGTGTCCCCACTTGAAGTGCCCTTTCCCACCATTTAAGGGGATTCCCCAAACCTGAAGGCTCCACCTGTATCCCCCGCTTCTCCGGGCAAGCCTCTGAGACCTCCTGCAACGCCGCCCACTTGCCAGCCTCCAGAGCAGGCAGGGCCAGGTGCTCAACTAAAGGCTGTCTGTACACAGGACAGAGGACCCAGTCCCCAGCCTGTCACACAGGTATGTGCTTTGGCTTCCAAAACTGGAAGGGGAGGGAACAGCCCCCTCCACCAGGACCCTGGGATGGGCAAAGGGCAGCCTGGGCAGCTGGAGCCCATGCGTCACTGCGGCGCTCCCCTCTCCCTGTGCTCCTGGGGGCTCCAGAGACCCTCAGCTCCCCAAGGGAAAGCCAGCAGCTGGAGGACAGGCTCCCACTGTCTGCTCCTCTGCCTGGGCCAGCCTCTCTGGGTACCCCTGGGCCTACCCATGCCCCTCCACCTAGAGCCACCTGCCCCTCTCTGACCACCAGCCACTACAGCCCTGGCTTACCTGTCGAGCCTCCACACACTGTGGCCAGCCCACACCTTGTTCCCCAGTTAGACCCGAGCTCCTCCAGCGTCAGGGCCCCCTGTTTCCTGCAGGGTCAGTTGGGCACATAGTAGGGCTCTTGAGAGGGGTTTGCTCCATGAGAGACAGTCTTGGAGCCTTGGGGTCCAGCACACAGTCTCCCATGCCTGGGTGGATGCAGTCAGAGAACGGGCTTGTTGACAGGTAGGGGACGCAGCATCTGGGCGAGGACCCCAGCAGCCCCCCTTTGCTTCTTCCCCATAAGTTTATTAGGGAAGCTATGGGTACACAGACGGGGCAAGAGGTCATCAGCAGATGTGAAGAACAGTTCTCGAGGGCTGGGGATGTGGCTCAAGCGGTAGCGCGCTCGCCTGGCATGCGTGTGGCCCGGGTTCGATCCTCAGCACCACATACAAACAAAGATGTTGTGTCCGCCGAAAACTAAAAAAATAAAGAGAGATCGGAAGAATAAGTACTCGCTACGCAATGGGCATGTGCTTATCTACGGCCTCAAATTTTTCCACATTAAAATATAAAAATGGCCAGGTGCAGTGGTGCACGCCCGTCATCCCAGCAGCTAGGGAGGTGAGGGAGGAGGATAGTGAGTTCAAAGACAGCCTCAGCAATGGCGAGGCGCTAAACAACTCAGCAAGACTTTGTCTCTAAATGAAATACAAAACAGGGCTGGGGATGTGGCTCAGTGGTCAAGTGCCCCTGAGTTTGATCCCTGGTACCAAAAGGAAAAGGAGGAGGGGGGGGAGAATGAAAGAAAGAAAAGAAAGAAGGAAGGAAGGAAGGAGAGAAAGAAAGAAAGAAAGAAAGAAAGAGAAAATGACTTCAGACACACTCCCTGACCCTGGCCACTCCAAAGGGCCATCAAACCGATGGTGCAATTCTACCTTTAAGCCACCAGGTGGCGGCCAAGACCAACACATCCTCCCTCTGCCCACCTTGGCCTCCAGCTTCCTCCAAGGGCTCTCTGGGTCTCTGCGGTAGGGGAGCCCCCGATGCAGAGCAGACCAAGGAAGGCCCTCCTTAGTGCCAGGCCCTCCCTAGTGCCCAGAAGTGGATATTGCTATCTCACCTGAAGACTGGGAAAACCAGCCCCAGAGGGAGAAGGGACCTGCCCACTGGCACACAGCCTGAATGGGAACCTCCATGTCCCCGTTCACTGACTGATTTCACAAAGGGCTGGGGGTCACTTGGTTTTATCCGCAGTACCCAGAATGGCCTTGCAAAGACAAGGACGTGGTCAAGGCCCCACAGCAACCTGGGGAAGGAGGCCAGTTGAGCCTGATCTGGCAGAGGGCTCGGGGCCTGAGCTCGTGGACCACCACAAGATTGACTCTGGAGCCAAGATCCTGCAACATCAGAGTGCAGCACCCACCAGGGACACCAGTGGACAGGGGCTGAGTGGGGTTTGGCTCTGGTTCGGACGGGAAGGCAGGCCGCGCAGCCACCCACCTGGGAACCCGGGTTAGCAGGAGGTCCGGCAGGGCCTGCCCCATACCAGCCAGGCTGACAGCAGGAGGAACAACAGGGTGAGAGCCGCCGCCAAGGTCACTGAGGGAACCAGGTCAGAGTCCTCAGGACCAGGCATGGCATCACCAGGGGCGTCTCTGGGGGCCTGGGGGGCCCCCGACAGCTGGGTGCCAGAGACCTTCTCCCCTGGGGGTCCTGGGCGACCCATCTGTGGAAAGGAGGGATGGAGAGGCAGGTCCTCCTCTGGATGAGCCCCTTGGCCCAGCCTCGGCCTCCCCTCCTGTCCCACTATCTCAGGGAGCCCTGCTGGAGAGCATGGGCCAGAGCAAGGGCCCTACGGTTCCCACAGGTGGCCCAGGACAGTGAGACCTGAGGCTCTGCTCTGCTCTGTAAGGTGGGGATGAAGGCCACAGGGAGATGGCAAGGACCAGCTGAGACCCCCCTCACTTCGCTCCCACCTCCTTACCGTCCCCAGAGACAATGGAGTAGAAGGTCAGGCCCAGCCCATGGCCTCCTCCAGAGTGTGGCCCCAGCGCCAGGGTCCTGGAATGCAGCTGGGCCAGTGCCCAGCACGTAGAGGCTGTCAGACTGGTATGAGGGGACCTTTGTAGAGCCTGAGAGAGAGCTGCCTGCAACCAGTGCCCTCTGACAGCACAGCGCCCCAGGTGGCCACCAGGTTATAGCTCGGCCAGAGAGGAGGCCCCTCAGAAGCCCCGGAGGTGGGCAGAGGCCATAGTGACAGCCCAAGACCACCAAAGTGGCAGGACCCTTCTCTGGACAGGGACAGAGTTCAGACTGGGTCATGGTCAGGGATGGCCTCTGCCCCAGGACCGGGCCCTCAGGCTGGACCCCAGGCCCCTCCATTGACCCAGGTATGTTCATAAACCTAGAAGTTCCACGCTCTGGAGGGCCCCCCCACTGCCACACTCCCCAGGGACATGTCTTGGCAGGCAGCACCCTTCTTTCCTGGATAGAACCCACCTCCTGGGGCTGAGCTGCAGGAAATGGGGGACCCAGCCAGGAGCTGCACCTCCACCTCACTGTGGTGTGTCCAAGGCAGGGGGGCAGCAGATGTCCCAGGTCACAAAGCAGAGAAAGGGGCCCTCTCCCAGGCCAGCCTCTAAACTGGGGCTCCCCACACAGGGGAGTAGAGGCTCAGGAAGGACAGAAGGCTCTCAATTCAGGTCAGCGAGGGGCTTCCAGGCGGCTGGGTGTCTGGCCCTGAGCAGGAGCAGAGAGGGGGAGGAACCCCTCCCCCAGAGGCCAGGTCCCCAAGCACCCAGAATAAAAGAGGTGGCAAGCCCACCAGGGGGAGGGCATCAATAGGCCTTCAAGGCCCCCAAAAATGACCCTTGAAGAAGGAAACTACCCTTTGAGGACGAGGATGCCACCTCAGTGTTCATCGTGAACAGAAAGGCTGGAAACAGCCTTGAGAGGTTCACGGGCACCAAGGGCCGCCCCCCAGCAGCCTCACAGTGGTCCATCAAAAGTAGGAAGGACAGACTGCTGCCCCCCCATGCCGCATCACACTGCACAGCAGGGGAAGGAGCAAACCTGGGGACCACAACAGGGAAGGGTCCCGGACACCCAACCAGAGCCAGTCAGGAAGGAGCACGGCCTGGGGCTCCCTCCCAGGAAGCCTGGCAGAAGGACCTAAGCTAAGACAGGGGACAGCAGCCGCTTCCTGGCTTCCTGCGGAAGGAGAAGGGCAAGCGGACCTCAGGAGGCCCAGAGAACTCCAGGGTGAGGGGAAAGCCCCCATCGGGATGGACAGGCCGTCACGTCCATCACAGGTACACAAGAGGAGTTCATTCTGTCCTCTGTGAATCCCACCTCGATAAAGTTGATTTTTTTAAAAATACATTAAAAAGAGCCAGGAAAAAATAATGATTCCATTTCTACAAGGTTCAAGAGCAGGAACTCTAACCCATGATGCAGGGGGAAGGACGTCCTGTAGGGGTGATCTAGGGCTTCCTCCCAGGTTACTGGAATCTCGTTCCTGACTAGGATGACCAGGGGCACTTGCCAGCCCCCTCTCTGAGCCCACCCTTGAGGTTTGTTCTCTCTTGGTTCTGAAAGATGGGGTAGCCCTGAAGAAGGCCCCAGGAGCTCACCCTTCACTAGGCTGCCTGGGCCACAGCCTGTGTTTCAGGTGAGGAAAAAACGCTTAAACCATTTTTGTGAAGTGGAGACATAACCACCGTGTGCAGCCCCAGGGCCACTGGAGAGACCTGGGAAGCAGAAACTAGCGTGCCCTAGAGTGCCCGCCCGCAGGAGGGCTCGGAGGGAGGGATGTGGTTTCCCTGTGGCTACTTTCTCTATTGTTCCATTACAGTTGTGTTTCTATTATAAGAAAAGGGAATTGAAACTTTTTTTTGGGGGGGGGGGGCACAGAGGTACCTGGGTTAGCTTAACCACTGAGACACATCCCCAGTGCCTCACCCCCCACACCTTTTTAAAAAATTATTATTTTGAGACAAGATCCTGCTAAGTCCTTAGGGATTCATTAACATGCTGAGACTGGCCTTGAACTTGTGATCCTTCTGCCTCAGTCTCCCCAGCTGCGGGGATTACAGGTGTGTGCGGGTCAGCCAGAATTGAAACTCAAAAAAGAAAAATAGATAAATAAAAAGCTTTACTATTTTGATAGCTAAAATTTGGAAAGAACCCAACTGTTCAACAACAAAGAATCAGTTTTAAAACCTGCGCGATCACTCGTCCAGCAGGAGGGGAAGTGACTCAGCCCCCCTGCTGAGAAAGTCCAAAGGGAACTAACTGGACATACCATTGCAATTTTCTTTACTTTCAATTTTATCTTTTGAAAACAGGCTCCCAAGGAAGTTTCCGTTTCAGTTTTTATTTTTAACTTTTATATTATTTCTAGGATGATCTGGAACAAGCCCAACTTATGCTTGGCTCCCTTTCTTCCTCGAAATAGAGAAACTCGCATTTTCCTTCTGTTTCTTCCATGGCTTTTCCTTGCTCTCGGTCCTTCTCCTTACGGCTGCGCCCTCCCCGCCCCGGGCTAGGCCCCTCTTCCTGCGCTCCCCTAACTGCCTCCGCCCAGTCCCTCTTCCCCCTGCCTTCACCCCACGCATCCTCTGGCTGCCCTGGAAGCCCAGCCTGATTCACTTGGTCACCCAATGGGGAGGAAGCCAGGGACAGAGGCGACACTGCGACGCGTATGGCAGGTGGAGTGGAGAGCAGTCAGAGCGAGACGAGCGTTCGCTGTGTGACCTTGGCGAGCGGCTACGCCTCTCTGTGTTTCCGTCTCCTCTGCAGAACTCGATGCACCGCTGGGTTGGGCCCGGGACGGCTCCGCCAGGGCACCCCCACCACGCCACCCTCGCCTGCTCGGGTGCGGCTTTCCGCTGCAGAGCGGCGACCTAGCGCGGGCGGCGGCCGCGCCCCGCCGGATCGGCATCCCACCATCTGCGGGCGTGCGGCTGCCCCATTGGCCGGCGCGGCTCTGCAGGGCCGCCCCATAGCCAATCGCAGCTGAGGGGCGGGGCCTGGGCGCGCCGGCCGCGATTTGCGGCCCCCGCGGATGCTCCAGCGCTGGCCTGGCCGCGTCCCGCTGGCTGGAGCGTGCTCGCGCGGGCCATGCAGGAGCCCCTGCTGGGAGCTGAGGGCCTGGACTATGACACCTTCCCCGAGAAGCCGCCCCCGTCGCCCGGAGAGAGGGCGCGGGTCGGGTGAGAGTCGCTGGGCGTGGGGGACGGGCGGGGACTGGGCGAGGTGGCTCTGGTCGCTCCAGCGGGCGCTGGCTCCACCCTGGGTCCCCACCTTTGGTGAGTTGCCACCAGGACCGTTTGGATCCTTTCTGCCCTCATGTACCTAACCTTGCTTAAGAAGCTGGTCCTCCTTAGGGAAGGGACCATCCGAAAGAGTGACAGCCCAGCTGTCATAGACAGGGAGAGGGTGAGGGACTTGCCTAAGGCCACACAGAAAGCTTTCAGAAGCAGAGCTGGGGGCAAAACCCAAGCTTCCTCTCCTGGAAAAAAGTACCACAGCCACAGGCTGACGCCCTGGGAATTTCCAGGTGGCAGCACTCAGGCCCTGGGGAGGTGTCAATCTGACCAGTCCGGCAGCCACTGGGCTCAGGAGAGTCAGCAGCTCAGGGAAAAGAGACTCAGACCCTGATTCTTTTGTCCCACCCCCACCACCAGGGCCCTGCAGAACAAAAGGGTGTTCTTGGCCACCTTTGCTGCGGTGCTGGGCAATTTCAGTTTTGGGTATGCCCTGGTCTACACGTCCCCTGTCATCCCAGCCCTTGAGCACTCCTCAGACCCAGATCTGCATCTGACCAAAACTCAGGCATCCTGGTTTGGGGTAAGGACCATGCTTGAAGCTGGAAGGAGTGGGGTAGGGGAGCATGAACCCTCTGAGCTTTGCCCACTGCTAGGGATTCCCCAAGAGCCCTCCTTGGGGCCCTCTCCAGGGCCCCAGTCCACCCCCTCCCTCACACACTCCTGGCCGCTGGTTGGTGGGGGGAGGCCAGATCATAGCAATGAACCAGGAAGTGAAAAGCCAATGGAGAAAACCTGGGACAGAACAGGTATGGTGCCCCCAAGGTCTCCCAGAGGGTGAGGGTTCCCCAGGCCCACAGTCAGGCTGCCACAGCAGACACCCCTCTGGATGGATGGAGGGGACAGGGGTATCAGGTGCCAGTGGGACGAGGCACCAGCTGGGAAAGATCAAGATCTCCAACAGCAGCATCCAGAGGCCATGGGCGGAGAGGAGAGGAGGACACCCTGGATTCTAGAATTAAAATCTAAATAGCCTCAGATTCCAATCACAGCTTGGTGGCTAAGAGGAAAAGACCCAGTGTTTACTGAGCACTTTGTGCCAGGTCTGTGTGGACACTTGGCCGACCTGTGAGGTGGGTTCTGTGGTTCTCCCATAATACAGCTGGAGGGGCTGGGGATAGAGCTCAGTTGGTAGAGTGCTTGCCTCACATGCACAAGGCCCTGGGTTCAATCCCCAGCACCACAAAAACAAAACAAAACAAACAAACAAAAAACATAATACATCTGGAGAAACAGGCTGGCACAAGCTAAACCTGGTGCCCACGCCCCACTGCTGATGAGTAGTGGTGTTGAGGCTGGGTCCTGGCCACCATCTTCAGGGAATCCAGGAACATCCTGGGACCTTCAAGTCAGAGTCCCCTATGTTAAAATATTAGACTGAGAACCACTGTACATATGTGGCCCCACCTCCTCCCTAGGGCAAGACCCCTAAAATTTAAATGGTTGTGCGCATGCTGCCTGCACACTTGCGGAGACTGGAGGCTTACCATCATAGTGGGCCTGGGTCTGGGGCTCGCTCCTGGGGTTGCCTGGGGAAGAAGCTGCCCCTGGCTCTGATGGGGTGGGGGTGCTCCCGGCCCCACACACATGCCTGCGCCCCTTCTCTACAGTCTGTGTTCACCCTGGGAGCTGCTGCTGGGGGCCTCAGTGCCATGGTCCTCAATGACCTCCTGGGCCGGAAGCTCAGCATCATGTTCTCTGCGATCCCCTCTGCGGCGGGGTACGCGCTCATGGCAGGCGCCCATGGTCTCTGGATGCTGCTGTTGGGGAGGACGCTCACTGGCTTTGCTGGGGGACTCACGGCGGCCTGCATCCCGGTAAGGCCAGGACCTGTCCCGCTGCCTTGGCATGGCCACTACTTGCTTAGGTCTTCTGGCCTCAGGCCTATGGTCAGTGAGAATGTGCTTGCTGTCCCCTCTGGCTGCCCAGGGAGCCTCTGCTCACCACCCCTCACCAAGGTCCCTGATTTCAGGAAACTGTCCCCATCCTGGACTCCCCCTACTTCCTACCCTGTTTCTTGACCGCAGTCAGATGCATTTCTCAACTGGAGAAGACCCACATTGAGCAATGGGGAAGTCCCTGCCCCATACCTTCCCTGGCGTCTTGTCGTCATCTCATCTACCCATACCCAGTCAGCACCCTGATGAGGTCAGGGTGGGGACGAAGGTCACTGAGGAAGACACACCTGCTCAGCCCCTAGGTCTGGGTGCCCCCCAGACCCATGACTGCCCAGCCTCCATCCCCACTCAGAGCTGAGTCATCCCACTGCCTTGCAGTCAGGAAGCTGAGGCTTGGTCACCCCAGCAACCTCACCTCCCAAGGCTCACAGGGGCACTTGCCCTGTGAGCGTGTTCTCCAGAGCCTGGCCAGATGAGTGTCTTGCAGGTGTACGTATCTGAGATCGCCCCTGCTGGTGTCCGTGGGGCCCTGGGGGCCACGCCGCAGCTCATGGCAGTGTTCGGATCGCTGTCTCTCTACGCCCTTGGCAAGTATCCTGCACCTTGCAGACTCAGGGGAGCACTGCAGACTTTGGAAAGGGAAAGGACATGCCCAGAAGGAACCCAGGGCTTAGAGGAAAGAGACCTGGTCCCCTGCGCCAGTGGGCCACCACCCCACCCTGTCCCAATATTCATGAGGCCCAGTTCCTGGATGGGCAGTGAGGGCATCTGGACCAGCAGTCTGGGTCACCTTCGAGCAGTAGGAGGCCTCAGTCATGAACAGCTAAGGTGGACCA